TTTTAATATAAAACCCAGCTGCTGCAGTCGTGTTTATGAAGAACTTCACTGGTTTTCTTTTTACCCACATAAGTGTATTTCCACACTTCATAATTAGAGATATGTAAATATTAAAGCTAATATTCAGAAGGCAACTGAATTTCTTTTACAGTTTAAAATCTCAGAATAATTGTTCTAAGAATTTTTTTTTTCTGTTTTGAAACATAAAGATATGCTGCTATGCATAACATCTCTTCATCCAGACTTTGATATAGTCTCCAATCTTAATAGAGAAAGCCCTGACTTTTCAAAGCCTGTAACAATTAGATTTGGAAAGAAGACATACCAGCAGGCACTGTTTTTGCTAAAAAGGTTTTTTGCAATACCCAATTTCACTGTGTGTCCAGCATTTAAAAACTGTTACTGAGATTCAAATACTGACTAGTCACAAAAATCTTTACAAAACACATTTAGATATGTTTGATGCATATGGTATTGCTGGACCATGTAGTGCTCATACTGAGAGGCTTTTTACTGAAAATTAGAAGACTAATGCTTATTTCAAACAAGAAAGAAATTACTAACTTGATTCCAGGTGCTGAAGCCTTAGAAAAACATCCACCCAACAAATGATAGCCATCTCTTTGGAAAACTCCAGGAGTCTCGGCAGTGCTGGTGCTTCACTGTGAAGAAATGCGAGTTTTCAGTGGTGTAATAGCATCTGTATCACTTACCTGTCATAAACATGATCCAGCCCATTCTACAGTACACAGATGGCAAAGTACTTTACCAAAGAGACAATGTTTCGCTAACACTAAGGGTTTTGGAAAGTGGTGGGAGAGGGAGAGGATTGAGTTATCTTTTGGTTGGTGAGTTACACTATTAAAAACAAAACAGTTTATTGAATGGTGAACGCAATAGCTGTTGTATGCAAACTACAGTAACTCCTGAAGCATACAACTAAATAACCAGCTACGTGCTATATTATAGGCTCACCACCAGATGGGGTGAAATTCACAGAATCACAGAGTGGTGTGGGTCGGACAGGAACTTCAGGTTATTCAGTCCAGCCTCCTGCCAGGGTCAGAGACACCTCACAATAAAGCAGGTTGCTCCAAGCCTCGTCCAACCTGGCCTTGAACACTGCCAGGAATGGGGCAGCCACACCTTCTCTGGGCACCCTATGCCAGCACCTCACCACCCTCACAGGGAAGAACTTCTTCCTTAGATCTAACCAGAACTTCCCCTGTTTCAGTTTGAACCCATCACCCCTTGTCCTATCACTACAGTCCCTGATGAACAGTCCCTCTCCAGCATCCTTGTAGCCCTCTCAAACCCTGGAAGCTGCTCTGAGGTCCCCATGCAGCTTCTCTTCTCCAGGCTGAACAGCCCCAGTGTTCTCAGCCTGTCTTCATATGGGAGGTGCTCCAGCCCCTGATCAGTCTCATGGCCTTCTCTGGACGTGCTCCAGACTCCCACAGTAACATCCCCTGTTGCTGCTCTCCCTTTAATCTTGACCCACAAACTCTCATTTGGCTCAACATCTATCCCCAGGCAGAGCTCCATAAGCTCCAGCTGGTCATTGACATAAAGCGCTACACCCCCTCCCTGTCTCCCCAGCCTGTCTTTCCTAAAAACCCTATAACCTTTCATTCCAACACTCCAGTCACAGGAACCATCCCATCATGTCTCCGTGATGCCAATGAAATCATATCCTGGCAGATATGCACACATCTCTAACTGCTTTTATTCCCCACACCACATGCATTTGTGTATAGGCAGCACCACCCCTTCACCCATCTGTTAACATGCCAGACTGAACCAGGCATTTCATTGGCCTCTCCTTTGAGCTGGGGGATCCATGAAAAACTGAGCCCCAGAGCCCCTAACTGCCTTTCCAAAGGCACTGTAGCATTTCTTAATGCTCTCCAGACTGCTGCTGGCTGAAGTGGGTAACAGTCAGTGGGACTTACTAGACTGGGAAGCACCTGAGCAACATCTCAGATCCAAGCCTTCACAGGCAACACACCTCCCTCAGGAGCAGGTTGGCCCAACAGATGGGTCCCTTTGTACCTTTCAGAGTCACCGACTGCTATCACCCACCACCTCTCCTCGGAAGCACTGCTATCACTGGTCGCCATTTTCTTTACTGGTGGGGCAACTGGCAGTTCTGTTGTGGTGGGTGTTGCCTCGTTACCCCCCTGCAGAAGCGGTTCTGGGTGGGGATGTCAGGCTTTGGAGGAAGCCCCTGGCATTTATTTGCCTTCTTCCTCCCACTTTTGTTGGGGTTTTTCAGTTACAAGATCTCACCTCCCCACGGACAAGCACCCTCTCTCCTTTCCGTGTGTTCCAGGGGCACATCTGTGTCCTCTGCACCGTGGCCTGCAGGTCCCCCACAGCCTGGGCTTGGAGCGAGCAACCCCACTCCCTCTCAGCCTCCCTGATGTCCCTCAGGCCTTTAACCGCCTCCCGCACCTCAGCCCTCAGCAGCAGATCCTCCCTCGGGGCGTACCGCGCACAGTCAGTCCTCAATTCGTCCCTTTCTCCTCGAGAAGCGATGTGAGGGCACTTTGTACCGCTGAGGCCGCTCCGCAGCCCCTAACCTCCGCCTGAGCCGCGCCTTCGCACTGAGGTAAACCCCCTCCAGACGCCGTCCCTCCCGCCCTAGCCTCTGTTGCTGTGGTAACGCCCAGATCTCGCCAGCGACTCTCGCGAGAGCTGCAGGACTGCGGCGCTTCTCCGGCCAACATGGCGGGCCCGTGCTCTAGGTGAGAACGGGCGGGCTTTGCTGCGGCTTCTCTCGTCTGTTGCATCACTGTCTGCAGTGAAACTCCAAGGCAGGACGGAAAGGCCTGTTGTGCTGCTGCAGGGCACTGCTGGCTGCTCCTGAGCCTCCTGTCAACCAGCACCCCCGGGGCCCTCGCTGCAGGGCTGCTCTACAGACACTCCTCTCCCCATTCAGACTTGTGTCCGGTGTTGGTCATCCAGGTGCAGAATCCAGCATTTGGGTTTGTTCCCAAGACCTGACTGCCACACCAGTATGATATTCCCTGCTGATGCCTGGGAAGTTGGAATCTCCCATAAAAAAAAAACAAAACAGACGTTTATCTAGAAATTTCTGCTGAGCCTATAGAATTACCTGTCAGTGCTGTCGTCTTTCCTGGGTGATTGCTAGGAGACACTCACGACTCAAGAACATGGAGCCAGGCTCTTTCCAGTGGGGCCCAGTGGCAGGACCAGAGGCAATGGGCATAAACTGAAACACGGGAGGTTCCTTCTGAGCATGAGGAAACCATTTTTTACTGTGAGAATGGGTGACCGAGCGCTGGCACAGGTTGCCCGGGCAGGCTGTGGAGCCTGCATCCTTGGAGATACTCAAAAGCTGCCTGGACATGGTCCTGGGAAACTGGTTCTAGGTGGCCCTGTTTGAAGAGGGGAGTTGGACCCTGTGACCTCCAGAGGTTCCTTCCAACCTCAAGCACTGTGATTCTGCAAATACTCAAACACTGAAGTGGTACAAACATCTGTGCTTTATGCAAGCCAGTAAATGTCTTCCAAGGAAGGGAACAAGCCTTTGTTTGGTACCCCTTGCACTGACACGCAATGCAGATCCCTTCTCAGTTATTCAGCAAGATCCTCTGAATTTTCTGATAGCTCCCCTTTGCCCTCTTGGTTGTCTGCCAGACTTGCTAAGTCTCCTGCAAGCTTCCTGTTTCCTACTTTGGCTTCTGAGCACTTCTTCAGCTGTTTGCCCTCCTAACTTCCTTTGTACACACACTGCCGGATGTAGTTTACACTGTTGTAACCCTTGTGCTAGGTGTCAACAGCAGATGCAAAGGAGAGGTTCGCTCAGGCTATGCAGTGGGCCGGGTTTTCTTCTTCCAAGAGTTTTCTATGGATGCATTTTAGATCCCAAGGCAGCGGCTCGTGCCCCTTTTGAAGAGTCTGGCTGTTCCCTTCGTGGTCCCTCCAGAGAAATTATTTCACTGACAAAAAGTTTAAAACCCCAGGCCTGTGCATCCTTTCAAAGACAAAAATGTAAGGGCTGAGTGCTGACTTGTTCAGCCTTGCCAAAGGAAGACTGGGGGACACAAGGGGGGGGTCACATCTCTTGCTATAAATACCTCAGGGAGAAACCAGTTATTCATGCTAAGAGACAATGCTGGCATAAGCACAACTGCATATAAACTAGCTGTGAGTACATTTAGGATGAATGCTGAAAGCAGATTTTCATCCACTGGAGCAAAGAGTCCCCCAGAGCAGCCTTTACAGAGGAGCAGTAGCAGCACACATGCGCGGAGTGGCATCTGAGTTCAAGGAGAAGAGTTTAACAGGAGACTGGACTGTGGCACAGAAAATCCAGTTGTGATCTCTTCCACATTATAATTCATTCCGTTAAAGGATGAATACTTGTCATGAATAATTGTCCTGTGTTACGCCCATGCATGAACCTCCCACTGGCCTGTAGTGATGAATGGCAGTCAAGACACTGAATGAATTCCTGCAGCCTACTCCTCATAGAAATGGCATCAGCATGACATACTAGAATTTATCAGTCTCAGAAGTAATCCCACTAAAGCATGCACATCACCTTCAGTGTGTGGCTGATGCACAGATTTTGCACTCTGAGGGCTATTTCAGCTACGGATTAGGTTTCTCCCTCTCCCCTCATGCTCCTCTGGAAGTTTTTCCAATGTAGTCACCGTGGAGGCACAGTTAAATGGGTACAGACATCCCAGAACATGACATCATATATTCTCCCTTCTACACTGAAATAAGCAATGCAGGCAAAAGGCGCTTTTATATCATTATAACAGCAAATGAACTTGGAAAATCATACGCATTAACTAGACTTGAACCACGAACACAGACTCATAGGACACCCAAGTCCTTGAAAGAAATCTTGAAGGAACTAAACTAAACCCCTGTTCCAGCACACAAACTAGTCTTATCTCACCAAGTTTTTGGTTATTAGCATTGTCAGAAGGTAACGTTCTTTCCAAGCAGACTGCCCTGTAACATTGTGTTGTGAAATTTCACATTCATCATTTTATTATAATCTGAACAGAAGCGGTATCTGAAGAGCAGAGAAAATGACTATACAAAGAATTTATAGAACATTAATTTACATACTGGAGACCTTCTGGTGCTTCTTTACAGTTTCAAGAAAAAGGCAAAAATTTGCACTAGTAGGTAAAACCAAGAAGGAAACATGAGATTATTTTTTTTAATGATACTGTTGGATACATGGAAGTCATTCAATTAAAAACATGGCTTTCAGCATTTTTGTAGTTTAACACTGTACGATTATAGTAGTACATTTACTAAGAAGGTTAATAGGAGTCTGTCTAAATACGTATGTCACTTGCTGCCATTAGTTATGAAACTGCATATACACATCTACCAAAAACCTTGAAAGAAAGTGCTGTATTAACTATTTAGTCTTGTATTTGCCATGAGCAAGTGTTTCGTGAATATCTTTCTACATACACTACATAATGGTACATACAGAATTATTTTGCTTTGTGCATTTTTTAATTCATTAAAAGCAAAAGCAGGTGGCAATATAACATCCAAAGGAACGCATAATAAAACACCTCCCTTAGAAACAGGGCAACTTCTTTACTCCCCACTTACCAAGTAGAGCTAAACTCCCAGGAAACACCACCAGGAATGTCAGCGTTCAATTCCTTATGCTCTTGAAGCCAGCAGCCTGAGAAAGAACAGGGACTAAAAAATAAGGCCCTGAATGGAAATGGTAAAATTGGGGGAAAAAAAGGACACTTTATTTTCAGCCCAAAGGCCAACACATGGTGTCTAGCAAGACACACTGGAATTTAAGTGTCATCTACAGAATCAAAAAAATGTAGTAAAAATTCCTTCTCATTTCAGTGCTAACAACACATCGGATTTAAACCTAATTCAGACTTAAACGTAATTAAGATGTCAGCTGGAGAAATTCACTGGGCTTCAACTGGCTGAATATTAAAAGGAAACTTGTCCTCACATGTTTCAAAAGGATCAAAACTCCTCAAGAGCTGCATTCCCTTTTGGATGGTACATGAACACTGTTTAAGTAGTATACCTCTGTGTGAGAAGAACAGAAGTATTTGGTACAAATCAGAGGCACTTGCCTTTGTTGCTTCAACGGTAGCTACTATGCTTTGGATTGCTTCACCCTTTTACAGATATCCAATGCCCACTGCTACTGATTCTCCACTACCCAGTCCAGATACATTAAACTTCAAATATTTTTTCTCTCTCCCTCTGTTCCTCACCCTCTTCCTTTTAAAAAGTATCAAGTTATTTATACAAAATTCATAGTTACATCAGTAACTCTGGCTATGATCACTGAGTAATGTTTCCATGATCCTAATACTTTAGGAAATAGGGAGAGAGCTGTTAATATAAGACAGATCATACTTTATACAGGACAGACCAAATTGGTGGAAACTTCTTACCATACAGCCCAACCAAAGTTCCCCATTCCATTTAAATATTATTTAGTAAAAATGAATAAAATGATTAAATCCTCCAGTGGGTACAGTTACTAGTTGATCCAGCACCTCATGCACTGGCATACCAAATTCAGCATGTCATTTTATTTCTTAGTTTGTTGCTATAATGTTGACAGCCACACATCAAATAGAGGCAGTGAAGCTTTTCAGCACTGTCACAAGTGAAGCTGTTTTATTACCATCAGTTGTGATACAGGGGTCTAGTACTGCTCTTTTTGAAGTGAATGGGAGTTCCAGAGTAGACTTCAGTGGCTTGCTCTCCTTGTGAAGTTTTCCACTGTAATCTAGCTTATCAGCTTTCTGTAAAGGTAACCAGCACTCTGTTATGCATTTAAAATACCAATGTACACATACAGAGATCTGTGCAAGTGTGACAGTTGTAGAAATCATTACATAAATGTTCTCAAGAAGTGGGACAGAGTAACAAAATATATTCCATTCCCTTTTGGATTTCCAAACTCAAGGAATTCTTAAAAAAACGGTATTATAAACCAAAAACAGTTCCTAAAGATCAAAGGGGGGAAAAAAAGGCCAAAAAAATCCATAAAACTCCAATAAAAATGGGGCTGGAAGAATCCACAAATATTAGGTAGGGGAACAAATATTACTACCAAAACAGTACTGCAGAGACAGGAAATGGGAAGTAGCTTATCACTGTAAGACAAAAGTCAAACTATGCGACTCTATTTAGCAAGGCACAGGCTATAAACACTTCTACTTATGCAAAATAGAGCTGAAGAGGCAAAGCCCAACAATGGCCTAGTTAAAGAGTATCTCTATGACATACCAAGATCTGAGATCTACTATAAATAATCTGGCAAAGGTTAAAAAAAGTATAAATTATAAAGTTTTCTTCTTTTCCCTCATTTTTATCCTGTAATTATTATAATACAGAATCTTCCCTGCTTAGTTCTCTGTATAAAAAAATAATACAAAACCCCAATTACAGATTTCCACACAACTTTTTTCTGCCACCTCTCCCCTATTTAGAATTTTTCCAACTAAACCAGCCCAGCCCTCTTAACACAGAGCAACCTCCCTGAATGCTCCACATTTCTGCTCCTGATCAGAAATCAACTTGCACAAACCTTCTCTTCACGTACATCTTCCCCTTTCTCCATTCAGTTCCCATCACTGATCACATAAGGATGAAGGGAAGAGCAAATAGTCTTCCCTCAGACCATCATTCCCTTAAGAGCATGTTTGCAAGGCCTACAGCTACCATTGATGCAACTATGGCAAGTGTCTTTGGAGGTTATACAAAACATTTTCTGCACAAAAGAAGTAGCACAGCCTAGTGAGTATTTCTGCTCCAACAGATGATGAGAAACAGCATGTGAAAATGTATCAGAAACCCTTCAGGAGAAAAGTTTTCATTTATGCTTCATTCAGGTTTGGGCCTCACAGGTTTGGGTGGCACCCACTTTCTTTTGTTTTGTCCTTTGATATAAAAACAAAGAAATAATGCTTTTGTTAATTTAGAGGCGTCTTCAAAGAAAAGGCAAACACAAGGCTCTTGCGACAGAATGCAGCTAGACTGTCCTATGCTTTCCTTCTTAGGAATGACAAGGGTCAGGCGTTGCTGCTGAATATGCTTTCTCCCTCTCTCACAGTGCTTTCCTTCAGTGGAATCAGTGAAGAGCTCTGAGTCAAGGATGTGAAGGCATCAGATCTTCTTCTGGGATCCGATCATGACCTTTGATACAAAGTTCACAATGGCGCTGGCAGGTTGCTCTGGATCATGCTCTGCAAATAGGTGGCATATGTTGTCCGTGGCACTGCCTTGCTTCCGGGCAACGAACCCAAATACTCTGCAAGGACAACAGACAGACAGGCATTGCCTCATTTCATAAAGCAGAAACGATACTGCACAAGCCAAAAGCACAAATAAGACTTCATCTCTTCTGATCGACAAGGTCCTGGCTGACTGCTAAACACAGTGGTTCAGGTGCAGCAGCTAACTCAGGAGCTCCTGAGTGGCTCAGGACAGCCACAATCAGCTAAAGAGACTGTCCCCTTCCTTCTGCTCTGTATTAGATCCTGCACAGTCTGCTGTCAGAGACATGCTGCTGACCCTGGGGAATATACTTAATCTGATTCTGTTCTGCTTTTCTTTTACCTGCTTTGGGGGTATTTGGTGTGGTGTGTCAGGAACGGCCTAAAAAGTGGGTTTGAAGGCCATGGATCTCAGCAGACAGAGTGCTGGAAATAGGACTTAAGCAATCTATTTCTGTTCCTTTCCAGAAGCCAGTGCCTAAGCTCTCCCTGTTTAGGGGGTTTCTTTTGGTAAGGGGGGAACAATGATGCTTGCCTTCAACAGAAAGTGCTTTGCAATCCACTGCTAAGTATATATTTATGCCACACACTAGTACTGCTGGGAGTGTTTTTATCTATCTGCTGGAGGGGGGGGTGTCTTTTTTAGAGCTATCAGTCTGAGTGGGACAAGTAAGCTTGTGTTAGCATTGCTGGACAAATGGAACACAAGACTGAGTAGCAAATGGCTGTTTTCATTTCTGAAACTTTAGTCGAATCATAGACCTGCAGCCTTAGTAAACCACACTAACTCTGGCTCCAGACATCCCACTATCACATAATTACGCCCCGACTTGCAGAGGTGCAGGTGACGTAACTAAAGTCTAATTACAGTGGGCAGAGAGATTTTTGTCTCAGGACAGCTGCTTTCCCTTCTACATCTCTGACAAGGATAATACAGAACACTAAGAAACTGATATTCCTAAAACATTCAGTTAAAAGAGACTCAGACAGGTGCCCACTTACTTTGCAGAAAGGCCATCTTTCATCCATCTGGTCATCCACGTAGGAAACAGTAAAGAAAACAAAAAAAGAAATAAAAATGAAACCTATGTTAGTTTTTTTCTTTTAGATCAACAATACAAACAGCACATTAGAAACACAGCTTGTCTTCCTTACTTTCTGTCCTGTGGATCCAAAGCACAGAAAATAACAGTGTTGACTGGATAATGTCGCCGAAAAAAGAGTCTGGGTAGAAAGAAAGAGAACAGGTTTTAGGAATAGTTAAGATGCTTAAAATATTAAATAATAAACTACATTTCATCTCAATTTAACAATGACAATATACTCTTTTTGCTATCTATGAGTGACTTTGAAAGCCACCTGAACTGCTCCAACTAAATAAATCCATATTTAGAATAGTAACATCAAGTTTTTGAACCAAAGGAAAACTGACCCTCAAGCTAAGAAAAAGAACTGGAAGTATGAAATGTGGTTTTTTTTTTAACCAAAAAATGGCCATTTAGATACTGTGTCTGTGGGAAATGCAACTTCTTGGAACTTGTGAATATACTAAGTTTCAAAATACAAGCACTTGTAGGCATTATCATGTAAGGTTTTGTCCCTGATCTGCTGTAAACACTTGCAGACCCCATGGAATTAAGAAGTCTGGCACTTCTTTTTTTTAAGCTAGAACAAATTCCTATTGCCCCTCCTTTGTTATTGTCAGTTATCAAAGCTAAAGACTTTGTGGTAGCCTTAACTGCATTCAGTACAAAGTAAACATAAATTACCTTTGTATCATAGTATTTTATAGGCTATCCAAAGCCCTATTTCAGCTACACAGTGATGCGCACTGTCTGCTTAGGCCAACTCTGCTGATACTGGCGAAAGATACCATGAAGATAAATTATTTCAGTGAATAGGCTGAATATCAAATGCTGGCAAAGCCATTACTTTCCCTTTGATTAGAAATAACCATTCATTAGAATAAAAATGCCATGGCAAAGTGACCTTCCAGATGTAAAAGCTGACATGTGGATTGTAACATCCATAGCTTCAAACATTCATTCTCCAGTCCTTTGGACAGCTGACTCCTTCACTGTCATTCCTTAATACATCCTATTATCCTCTGAGAGAGTGCAAAATGTAACTAGGAAAATCAACAGCAGCCAACACATGTAGGGGACAAGGTTGGATATTCTCTTACTTTCTTTGATTATCTGTCAACGTGATTCCCTGTGCAGACACTTTGAAATGGACAACGGTTGAGACAGGAGAAGGGTCTTGCATCAGTGTCAGGCTCAAGGCTTTCTGTACTGCCTGGTAGCCTGTGAGGGACTCCATCTCCACTGAGTTCAGGTACCAGACATTACATGCTGTAATGAAAGAGAGGAAGGACTTTGAGAGGTCATTACCAAGCAGCAATCAAACAGGTGTCTTTTGAACAAAACCAAACAGCATGTAAACTTTCCACCTTCGTAAAGCAAACAGGGAAGACCAGCAGCAAACCTTGTGGGTGTGTGCCTCACCATGTTCCACTCTTGCTTCATAGAATCACAGACTGGTTTGGGTTGGAAAGGACCCTGAGATCATCCAGTTCCAATCCCCTGCCACAGGCAGGGACACCTTCCACTAGACCAGGTTGCTCCAAGCCCTATCCAACCTGGCCTTGAGCACTGCCAGGGATGGGGCAGCCACAGCTTCTCTGGGCACCCTGTGCCAGCACCTCAGCACCCTCACAGGGAAGAATTTTTTCTACAGAGTTCAAGACTAAATTCTGGAGATAACAGGCCTGTCTCATAGCAAATCTGAAGCAAACACTAGGAAAGTAAGAATTAATATTATATAGCATTATATACTAGACTATAATACTGTGTAATACTAGACAATACTGTATGGTAACTGTGCCATATAATACCATACAGTGTTAATTACTATTATATAGAATTATTCACATGTTTAAATACTTTGGGACTTAAATACTTTGGTATAAAGTAAAATTTACAAGCAGGTTAAGAGCATTTTTGCTCTTGGAAAGTCCTCTGTCTTACTCTGCAGCACAAACAAGCAGGATTAAACCCATCCATAGTGAAACACAGGTGCTGACAGACTTTGTGTTTTGATAAAATATTTGCATAGGTATCCAGGACAGAGGTTACAACTCTGGCAGCTGATGCATGCAAATTACCAACTAACATTTCATCTGTTTAGCAGTTTAGTTTGACTTGCCAACCTTAATATGAAAGCAAAGACTAAATTAAATCTAATAGCTTCTCTTCCCATATGGCTATTCTGTAATCTGACTAAAGCTTTCTCCTATGACTAGCTACACAAAACACACAGCCAGGCACTGGCACTTTCAAAACAACCTAGCAGTCGCACAGTTAATGACTGCATAAGCATGAGTTAGATCCCAGCATGATGATCAGCCCAGTAACTTCAAGCTCTGGTGTCTGTCAGTGAAATAAGGGATCCAGAGATTTGTTTTATTTCATCTGAAAGCAGCAAATTTCCCAAATGTACTTGCACATTGCTGTGATTGTTTCAACAACTTTTGTTTGAATAGTTACTATTCAATTACAATTCATGCAGAGAGGGGTTTAAGATGACGAATGCAAGTTCAATGAGGCCTTCCTCGCTGAACAGCCTTCTGTCTTGTCTACCCAAAATGGTAAATAACATTCCAAACCATAAGCTCTCCTCACGTCATTACTGGGTATGTTTGGTATAGTTCTAAAGCTCTTCATTATCCTTTCAGCCCTTCCCACCACAGGAAGCTTGCCTTGTTTCACAGTCACACTCCACTTTGGAGACCCAGATGAAGTGCTTCTCTTCCTCTGCTGTCACACACTGCACTGGTGTCAACAGAATGTTTTCAAGTTTTGTTTCTAAATGAATCAGCCAAGCATTTTGTCTAAATTGCCCTCAATCTGATAGTTCAAAACACGTCACCAAATACTGTGTCTTTCTTTACTTCTGTAGCACAAAAACCAGTAAGTGGAACCTGTTTCAGAAGTATTGCAAAGTGTCAGCTTAAGAAGGAGATTACAGGAAAGGACGGGTAATGAGAAAGGCTGGAAGAGATCTTAATTAAGACCATGGGGAATGTTAGATGGGGAATTTAATGACAGCAATCCCACAGAAACAATACTCAAGGCTAAAGCAAAAGGAATACGTGTCTTTTGTGCAGTGCAGCTTCCCTGCAATGGTGCTGCTATCATTTTCCACAGGATTTCCAAAGGATTTCCAGTCAGCTTCTGCATTCAGATAATGACTGGAAATGCTCATTAGGTTTTTTCAGACAGATATAAAAAAAATGATCCTTCAGGAAAATACATCTTTCATTTGCTTGTAAAGCAAGGCAGGGGAAAAGCGAATCTGCTTTGGCTAAACTGCAGGTGCCCACACAGCTCAGAGAGTTGGAAAAGAAACAATTTATGTTTTGGGTCTGCCTTTCAGTACTCAATTCCACAACTAGAATGTCTCTATGACTGCAGAAGGACCTCTGAAATATGGAAAATCATTGGAAAATGATGTATCTAGGCAAAAAACCCTCTGAGCATCTCCCCTAGCTAATTCATCTATTCAGGTCCCAAACCCCTGTCTACAAACAAAACCACCAGCAACTAATCCCCAAATGTACTAAGTTTCCCATATGACTCATGATGTGATAACTGCCCTAAGGAGTTACCTGCCTACTGCCCCAGATGAAGCAAGGATTATTTCTTTTTGTTTGAAAAGCACTGCCTGGTCAAGGAGAACCCAACGTTTCTCAAGACAACACATGCCTCTTTTGCTGGGTTTTCACAGAATTGCCAGGGCTGGAAGAGACCTCTGGATATCACCTGCTCCAACCCCCTGCCAAGGCAGGGCCACCTAGAGCAGGTCACCCAGGAACATGTCCAGGCAGGTTTGGAAGAGGGAAAGTTCTACAAAAATGAGTCCTCCTAGTTTCTTTTCCCCTGTTGGCCACAACAAACCTGTCAGCATCAGCAGACAGAAAGGCCAAGGCCAGTGTGTGCTCACTCCTGGCACAGCCTCACAAAGGCTTGCCATTGCCTCAGCCACACATGCCTTCTTGATTACAGCACTTGAAGAGGTATTCAGATCAAAGCAGACTGCTGCACAAGCAAGGAGCAACACTCTCCAGAGCAGCTCAGCTTGGCAACTGCCCCCTTCAGAAATGCCCTGAACTGGGTGGGGGCAAAGAGGCAGCATTCTCATAAAGGCACAGAGTATGCCATATGCAGTGTGTTCTCCTGCTCTAATGGGACTAATCTGGTGGACAGACAGATCCTGGGGAGAATTCGTAGCAGAGAGAAAACAAGGGAGCATGGGAGGGCATGGAGAGGTTCCCCTGGGCACTATATAGGGGAGTAACACAGTGGCTGCATTTCTACTAAGAGCAGCTGTAAGATTATAAGGGGGTACTCAGAGCACCACGTCCAACAACAGTGTGTTATGACTGCTACTGAACACATTCTTTAGTTGCCCTTTGCAGACCTCAGACATAGTTCATGAACCTCTGCAACCACAGGTTGAAAATACCTTCTCTAAGTTCATCAGTTATGAAAGCAATGTGGCTGCTTAAAAATTGCTGTGCTTGAGCCAGCCTATGCGTACTTCAGATTCCCATAGGAGATGTGACTGGAAAGCAAACACAGGGTTGCAGAGTTTAGGACCTGGCTGCAGAAACCAAAAAGAATTTGGTATATATCCTCACAATGCCCTTTACACTTCTACACAGCAGTCTAAATTTAACTGCTCCCTTTAAACATCCTCCAGTCTAATCTAAGCTTCAGCTTCTCCCAGGCTATAAGACACAAAATCTGGTGCCAGTCAAATGCAAAGTAAAAGTTTAACAGACCTGCACCCTGTTTAAGAAGCTCCGCTGCCGAGTTTGCAGCAGTCTGTGGAGAAGTTTCGGCTGTCTCCTCCAAGGGATCTGCAAACAGAAAACACAGCCCATGTCTTGTTTGGACTTGACTCAACAGACCAACGCACTCAGACAAGTATGAATTCAGCTTTTAGAACTGTCATCTCACCCACTGACCAAGTCTTGGCCAGAACTCTGAAATAATCTTGTAACTGCAACTACAGTCATTCATGTGGCTTTTGTGCTGCATCACTTTTTTTTTGCCTCCAGCATTGCAGGAGGGATGCCCAACCTTTACTTCCTAACAGTAAGACGTAACTACGTAGCATAAGGGACACACACACCACCACATTAAAACAAGACTAATAAATAGCTCTATTCCCTTATTATAACACTCATTTTGAATAGTGCAGTTTTCATTATCTCATTTATTCTGTATTATTTACACTAATTTAGGCATAAAGAAATTGTGTTTCTACAATGAAATCAATTAATTGTATTTTGATTCAGAAAATGACAACACAATCCTCTTTTTTTCATACTCATGTGGAAAACAAACATCTGAACTATTAAGACAGCAGTGGAATGTTTGCCTCCCAATTAAAATCAGTGAGAAAACTGTCCATCAGTATGGTCTTTCAGTTACATATATGCATGTAAAAAGATCTCACTGCTTTATTTAACATGATACATGCTGTCTTTGAATCCATTCAAATGAGGAAGAAAGCAGTAATAAGGTATGTGACAGTATTAACATGTTCAGAGTTAGCCATATGCTTTAAATACTCCACACACCATATCCAGAATCATTAACCACAGAAGATCATCTTGAAGTGTGTGATCAAATTGGATTAAAAAATAAATCCACAATAAAAATTCACTCTGATAATGTTTATTCAGGACAAAGCAAACGTTTCGGTCCTGCACTTCTGCCAGAGTGAAGGAGCTTTCCATTTTAGGTGAGCAGGATAAGGAGAACAAGCCCACCTACCACGCTGCTTTGCCATATAAAGAGATCTCTGGTCACATCTACCATATCATGTTTTTGTGCTAAAATGGTTTCATTAATGTATTTGCATAATTCCAATGCTATGTTTGAACACTGACATATGGCCTTTAACAAACGCTTACAGAGTTCAGTAGAAAACCACAAGAATGTTTAACATTTCAATAATACATGTGGTGTTAACTTCGTGTGGGAGAGTAACAGACAACTGAATTAGGGGAAAGCCAGAACTACATTTTGCTGTTGTCTTAAGTGTGGTTTACGAAATCACCATAACCAGAATTAGAATTACAGTCCCATGATTTAACACAGGCTTTCTGATCACTTACTTAAACAATATTCGGACCTATGTAAGCCGCTGCCTCCCTGCCAGTGGTCATACTCAGGACACTGTTTTCTTTACCTACTTGCCTTCCCTTTTGCTACCCAGACCTGAATGAGTGGCTACATCTAACCTTACACAGTGTAATTTCATGTCTGAGAAGTACATTTGTCTTCCTACGTGGTATATTTACTGTGTGGATTTCCATGGCACGTGTGTTTGTAACTGGAATATCACAGTACTAGTCTGCTCACAGCTACACGTTGGGGGAGAGCCATCAGGAGTATTGAAGAACCACTTTCAAAACACAGCTTCCTTCCCTCTGCATTCTTGCTTAGATCTCAGCTTGTGACATCTTCACCTGCCTTCAGACACTGGCACTTTGAAGCAGAGCTTGGCTGGGTATATCTCTTCTGTACTTTAACAAGCTTACCTCTGTCTGGGATGAGGAGCTTGCAGGGCAATGCCAGTGGGGTGATGGAATGCTGATACACCAGAGCTGTCAAACTCCCTGTGGTCAGAAGAGTAACAAGACATGCACAGTTAACTTGGCAGACAACAAGAATGCTGAACGGTTATGTTGGCTCTCAAGTATTTTATAGATCAAGGGGCCTTCCCTCTTGCCCTTTAAAAAATATTCTCTTGGCACCTAAGCTGAGACCTTCTTCGGTCAACTTTAATGTATTCATGCTTCCCAGCACTTTCCCACTTGGATATGCTTGAACTCACTAATCACAATCATATGCCCCCTTTTCCCTGCTTAAATCCTAACCTTTGCTTTAAATGGAGAAAGCACAAAAATGACAAAAAACAAAGTAACATGAAAGTCAGTAAATTCCTTTCCACACTCTTAACTTCAGCTGCCTTAAATGTAGTACAATTTTATGAAAATGGTAAGAACATAAGGGTCAAAGCTATGTGAGGCAGAGAAAAAGGAGTTCTGCCTCTGAGCCATCTAGTCTCCACTGATTAGTGCTTTGTCTGCATACCTATTTTGTGCTTCTGAAAGCATCTAAGATGGTCTAGAGAGATTATTCTTCTTTTCAAAGTCCCTTTTGTCATTTGGACTTGACTTAAAATAATTATACATTAGTTATCATTGATATTAGCATGTCTTTAAGAAGTCTATAGACTGTAAGAAGTCAGATGAAGGAATGATATTCATCAGCCTACTTGTACAAAAAGCCATCCTTAGATCCTGTTTACCAACAAAATTGAACATTATAATCATGCACTTGAGAAAATTCACTTTTAGGTTCAACCTAAATCAGCCTCATTTCTAGAACCCCAAAAATGAAGGTTCTAAAACCCAACACCTCAACAAAAAAAAAAAGTGGGAGGACAGTGAGCAGCAGAGAGGAACTGTTCTGTAATGACCATATACCCCTCATCCCCTCCTGCACTGCCTGAGGTGGGGGTAAGGAGTCTGTGGGGAAGAGTGAAGTTGAGCTTGGGAAAAGAGGAAGTAACAGTGTTACTTTAATGGTTTTTTCTCACTACCTGAATATAGATTTTAACTGGTAAAAAAATAAATTAATTTCCCCCAACTTCAGTCTCTCTCTCCCATAGTAGTAACTGGTTAGAAACCTCCTTGTCTTTATCTCAACCCATGAGCTTTCTCTGTTTTCCCCTCCTGCCCCACTGAGGAGGGCAAGTGAGTGAGCAGCTAGGTAGATGTTCGGTTGTTTGCCACAACACGTAGTGTGCTTTCGTCATGCTACATTAGGTAGGCTGACACAGCATCATGTACTTTGTCCCACTCTGATGCCATTTTAGCCAGCTAATACACAGCATACATACAGCACAGGTCAAATTAAGGTGAAGGTCCTAAATCAGTGAGACCCATAATAGTCATCTAGCTCAACTGTCTGCAGCTGCATTGGTTTTAGTAGACAAGCTTGCACATATACTTAAGGTAAACATGTACAAGGTTCCTCTAACCTCAGAATGCATTCCTACAGAAACCATCAGGACTGATGAGAAATGCGTATTCTCTCATTTGCACTCAACCCAAGTCTATAAAACAGCTCTGGCAAATGCAAACTGTTTCCATTTTATGCATCCCTGTGATGTACTGTACTTACCAAAATATGGTTCGTTTGGGCATCCTTTCAAGCGCACCCCCTTGTGAGTGCATTCAATCAGAAAATGCCTTACAAGTTCATTTGACAAATCTCCAACTGTGTGGAAAAAAGCAAAGGCGGCTCATGAAGAGAAGCAATGAAGAGACAACAGTCTCACAAATTAGCAGGTCTTTGTGAAGCAGTTTTCCACATTACCACCAAGTGTTTTATATACAACATGCAAAGAATACGTTGGACCTGCCCAGCTGCAAGGTTACAAGCTGTAGTAAAAAGGCCATTTTGCAAAAAACAAACAAGCAAATAGCTCACTTTAGACAACCAGAGGAAAAGGTTTTGTAACCGTGAGTGACAGCCAAATACACACTGCTTCCCAAGCAGGCTCCCAACTACAGACAGGAAAAGAATTTGGAAATCTAATAGCTAGAAACTTGCATCAGAATTCTGTGCAGAATTTCTAACCACTGGAAGAACTTGTATCCAATGTGACACGTAAAAGTGTGACAAAACACTCAGATTTCTAGTGATGGTTTTGCTCACACAACTTTTCCAGATGAAAGCAATAGACAATTGAGCTACACCAACGTAATGCCAAGTCTCTCAGTGAAGTTTTAAAGTGTTTGCAGTTTTACACTAAGCCTTTGCTCCTGAAAACAATTACATGAAATCCCCAGGTTTCATCAGGTTTTTGAAGTTTTTCTCTCTGGTTTATTGTCCTAGACAAATTAAAAAGGTTAAGTTGGATGTAATGAGGAGCTTCAAAGTCCAAGAGACACAGAAAGATTCCCTTGAGATTTAATATTCTTTTAAACATACATACACACACATATAAATAAGAAAACTCCATTACTTCTTGAAAGGCTGGTTCACAGTATTTCACACCCAGCTAGAAACTGATTCTCTCTCCAAGCAATTTGTTTCATAGCAATGGGACAAAGTTACCCCACCATTCAAACCTTAACAAAAGAGCAGCAACACAAAAAACCTCCTTTTAACTCTGATCTATCAGCCACAGTCCAGGAAACACAGGACTTCAAGGGCTGACTTTCAAGCTAATACAGATGAACACATTAATCTGGACAGCAGAAACTTCCATGCAAGCAAATATTGCATAGACCACCTTTTCAAATAGCTTACTGTTTGCAGTTATGCTCCCAGAATATTAAAACTGAATGACTACAGGGGTATGTGGCAAGGGGAAGCCTGGAACAAGAAAATCTGCAGGAAACTGAACAGATTTGTGCCTTCTAGGATGAAACAGTGGGAATCAAAAGAGTTAAATATCACACAGTGAGAAGTGGAAGAATGCTACAGTCTCATCTAAGTTTTCTCTTACCACTATTTGTCTGTGGCACAACTAACACAAACTGGCTCTTTAAGACGAGTAGAGTTTGAACTTTCCTGTGTTCTGGAGTTCATGGGTCTGATGATGGAAAAAAATTATTACTAAAATCACCTACAGCCACTCTCCATTTACATCCTTGTTGCCATCACTGCCCCTGTGCACTCCTGTCATGGTTTAAGCCACAACACTTCATTAAGTAAGACACTGCAGTGGTTCTGCTGACGCTTTTTGGCAATAAAATGAAGGATTACATGGCAAATTTGTGTTAGAAATTGTCTCAAGATATCAGATTAAGCGTATAGAACTTGAAATAGCTTGCTTTCTGTATGTTTTCCTCACTTTACCTTTCACAACTCTCAGGCACAAGTTATACATGGAGGCACTGGAGCTGGCAAAGCAGGTGTATTTAATCACTCCTTTTAAACAACTATCATCTTTCCTTAGGGAACCTTCTCAGATTTATATCTAATGTAGAACTGTCTCAAAACAAAACCTTAGGGCCAAAAATATTCAACCTTCCAGCCAGGCTAAAGCTTTACAGGGTGGTATGTGGATCAAAGGCAGATTTCTGATTGCCTGGGAGCACCCATGGTTTTCTATTAGGTTGCTAAGGTACAATACATGCACAGCTATAGTGAACATACATTTACAAGCCATGGTGAAACTATAAAGTACAACAGTTTATCCAATCTCATTTAACAAGGTACCAAAGGGAGCCTGTAATTCAAGTTGCATTTACTAGAAGAGGGGAGGTTCCTCTAGATCGTTACCCTGTAGTAAGGATTTCCAAGTATGTATGGCTTGTTAAATAATAGATAGAAGGGCATGGAGTACCTTTCTTGTTTAACTGCAGCACAGAAGGAGGTGGTGTAGCAACTTTCATTGCTAGTCCATAGGCTCCCCGGAAGGAATGACTGTCTCGAACAATGAATGAGCCAGGTTCTTTGTCCTTGAGAACAGCAATGGCTGCAGGGATTCCAGGAAAGAGAGAGAAAAACAGTTCCAGAACAATGCACATACCCAAGAAGTACAGAAGTCAAAATCTGTAATTAACAGGAGACTAAGGGAAGTAAGATCCTTTTCTCTGCCCCCACTGCTGCAGAAGATAATAGAGTCAAGCATATCTGGGGGATATGAGTGGAAACATCTTGTGCAAATCTCATAGATACTTATTTTGAGATACATCTGAAGTACAGATCCTGACTCATTTTTAAACTGAGGACATGCAGGTCCCACCAGGATTCTTACAACCAGTGCAAGAGCAAGCTGATTCCTGCCTACATTTAGTCAACTTGTTAGAAGCATGGCAGAGAGCACACTACACAGCACTGTTTTGATTTCCCTATGAAGCTTCACCATACGGAGCAGATCTGTTGTCATCCACCACTGAGCTTCTCTTCCTACTAAGCAGTCTCAGTCCATTACTACTTTCGAAACAAGGGAAATGTGAGAGAGTACTCTTTGAATGTCCAAGCACTGAAATATCTGACATCTGTATTCTGTGAGCTCTGCTGGAAGTGGGAAATGAAGTTATCCCCAAGAAGAACTATCCACAGGGAAAATGCTCCTGCTTTACATGAGTCTGCTGCAGACTTTGAAATCAAGTAGCCCAAAACCTTAAACTCAAAAGGTTCATCTAATGATTTACCTTAATTTGGTCTAAATAAAACATCAGTACTTTGCCTTAGTTTTCTCCCCTTTAAACTTTTTGGAAATACTTGCTTGTTTCCAGAGTTTCTAATGATCAGGAAGCCTTCAGAGATACCTTGGAAAAAACCCAGATTTGACTCTGGAGTCTTTTAATTGTATACAGAGAACATGGAATTCTGCACATGGGGCATGAAGCCATGTTTTGCAAGGCCTGAGCAATGATTACATTATAAACACACACACTTTGTTTTTTTCCATAAAAAAGAGTAGGAACAGAAAATCAGGAAAATGCAGACGTAACTGTTCTCCTGTTGAAGAGATTTATATTCTATTCTGTTAGCTGTCAGACGGTGAAGAAAACAACCATTTTCACAATCACAGAATTCCAGACTGTCTTAGGCTGGAAAGGACCTTAAAGCTCATCCAGTTCCAACCCCCTGCCATGGGCAGGGACACCTCACACTAGAGCAGGTTGCTCCAAGCCCCATCCAACCTGCCCTTGAACACTGCCAGGAATGGGGCAGCCACAGCTTCTCTGGGAACCCTGTGCCAGCGCCTCAGCACCCTCACAGGGAAGAACTTCTTCCTTATATCTAACCTGAACCTCCCCCTGTCTCAGTTTGAATCCATCACCCCTTGCCCTATTGCTACAGTCCCTCATGAAGAGGCCCTCTCCAGCATCCTTGTAGGATAATAATCTGTCATGTGTTGAGAGGAGGAAGATGATTCTGGAAAACCCCACAATTCAGAAGCACTTATGTAACACTTCTAAATCTGCAGGGGACAGTAATCATTTGGCACATGAGCAGTCCATTTAGGATAGAAAAAAGGACAAGTGCTCCCCCTCCTCACCAACAGGATCTTCAAACACTTTTTAAAAGGATTTTTACTTGATAGGGCAAAAAGATGCATACTGAAAGATTGGGAAGATTCTCTTACCATGTGTTCAAACAGCTAGGTTTAAAATTCCTGTATGATCTACTCCCCTCTCTGGACTCACATCAAGTCAGGACATTTTCTTTGCACATTTAAAGTTGTCATTGTGGGCGGAGGAGCAGACACAGGGAAGGGGACTGGAGTTAAAGGACCAAAACCCACCATCTAATGAGAAAATAATGATCTGTTTTCTATGATCTTTATTACCCTCAACTCAGATTTACCACTATGCTCTAAGAGGCATCCTCGCCATTTGAGAAACTATGAACTAGACAGAGCAATTCATTATTTGGCAGTAGCTGAAGCTCACACTATTTTGCTTTAGCACGGATTCCCTTCCCAATGCAGACCTAATCTGTTATTTTTACTTTCTGACAACCACATTTTAAGAATCCCTGTTGAAATCCTCCTATAACTCATTAAATAGAATGCAGTATAGCTGAGTATTACAATACAGACACAAGGACCATCAGACCAGTTGCATTTGCAAAGCACCCAGCATGATTTACTTACACACTGTTGCATGGACGACGTGTAAGTTTGTATGTATATATTTTCACATATATAGTTACAGCTTTATCTCATTCAGTAATACATCTACATATAGATGTACTGTATCTGTATTGTTGTTGCATGGGGGTGTTATTTTGTGACCTTCAAGAAATAATGTATGTCACTTGCAGCTGGCAGTGAAATTCAGGCTACAGAATGACTGGTAGATGAGGATGCCTTTATGGTGACTTCTGGCTAATTAATTCTTCTCTGATGTTTAGCATCTCTCAACCTATTATCTGTGCAGAGAAACACACATGGCTAAGATCATGCCAGAGCAGCACACATGTATTCAAAACGTTTCTGAGAGCAGTTCCCTCACACATAATCTGCCATTCCAAACCCTGGAGCTTTCCAGTGAAGCACATTTGCAGCAGCAAATTTAAACTGGAGCTCATTCCATTAGCCTAAGAATTTGTCTGGTCAACTGAACGTTGTTTGGAGACTCCTTAACTGCCCTCCGCTCTTAAATTCAGCCTTTGGACAAAAGAAATCAAGTGAGGCTGTCTGTGGCCCTTCTGGGTTTTGTATTTCTTCCTGTATATTTTTAGACATCAGGTATGTATCAAAACAACTCAAGGAGAATTAATTCTCTGACCAGCCTTCCTGTGAATGGATGTGCCAGAATGTGTACAGTTGATATACCTTGTTCTCTTGAAATATCTGGCTTATACCAGAATTTGGATGTGTCCTGGACAAATTTTACAGTCACGTGTTTATCAGTTGTGTTTTCTGTGAAATAGAAGGGGAAAAAAAATGGTCAAGATATTGCTTAAACACAAAAGCATTTTTTACTGTTCTTACAAATTCCAATCACGTTCATTATTCAAAACACTTGTGATTAGAAGGACAACTTAGAACTCTGAATTGGTTTAGAACCAACAAATATCACAGTGTCACTGTACACTAAGATTCTGAAAGCATTCTTGGAAGTTTCATTTTGTAAACCCCATAAAATATTAGAAACTCTTCCATGTGTAAAGCTGTATTAAATGCAAACTTCTCAATGTGAATACACACCTACATTTTTAACTATTCTGACACAGGTCTAGAAGGGTGCAGAGAAGCCAGCCCTTATGGAAAGAAGTTGGACTCCACACTGCTTGCTTGCAGTTCGGCAGTTCAAAAGGCAGGCTGCCCTTGGCTGACATCTAAGGAAGTGCAGAAAGAATTCTGCAGCCTTGCTCTTTGAGAAATACATCCAAACCCACCGAGCTGGTGCTGCTTACTGCAAACACTCAAGTGCTCTGTGCCATTTTCATTTCATCGCTCCCCATCCCCACTTCTAAAATCCTCAAAGTGCTTTTTTTAGACTCATATAAAACCTAATGCAATCTGCATTTCTACAATACACAAACCTACCTGGCACTGGGGAAGTGTTTAACATTTTTGAGAAATCTGGGAGGACATTTGGGAAGGGGATGCTGATTGTGCTCCCACTGTGGGGGCTCGAGAAGCCACTTGAAGAAGGGGACACAGAGGCAAAGGAACGGTCTCCTTCGGAGGACCTTTTTTTCTCTGGAAGAGGTGGTTGAGCATGAAGATTCCCTGCATGGTGCTGCTGGACTGCACTGTTCTGGCTATTGAGTCCAGAGGCCACTGTTACAAAGTTTTGTGTCAAAACACCATTGTCCTCAGCACTTGCCACTGATGAGCTCACAGTTTTAGGAGACATGCTAGTATTGGCTATGAAAGCAGCTTGTTTCTCCTCTTGTGGAGAGCTACTGCCCCTGCTGCCCCCACTGTAGCTCAGGTAGGCCCGGGCACTGCTGCTGACTGCAGGTTCTTCCTGTGGCTCTGCTGGTGAATTCTCCAGGCTGCTCAGGGTGACAACTTGCAGTCCTGGACTTTGGAAATGAGACAAGAGGGAGACATCTTGCACGGCGTTGGAAAATTCCGAGGGCACACGGTAACCTCCTGGTGGCCTGCTGTTTCCCATTGACAGCTGGAGTGACGGGGAAGCTTTAGGGCTGCTTTCAAGCCAAGGACGTTCTGTTGCAGAAGAGCTATGGAAAAAAAGCCAGAACTTGAACACAAAAGAAGAAACCAACAGCTAAATCATTCCCTTGAAGTGTCACTGTACAATCCATACTGCAGCAGCGATCACTGAAACAAGGAATCGCCTCACCCAGGGCAATACCTGAGGGTGCTCTTCGACACATGCTGGACCTGGTGATGCAGCTGGATCAAGGGATTCCAGCCCCACCCCGATCACTCATTTCTTCAAGTGTAGGTCTTTACCTTCTGCCTCATGTCACCCTCCACCTAGCTATGCTGATGGGGGGCAGGAGGAATGGGGAGAAGGTGGAGGGAAGAAGAAGGGAAAAGAGGTGACATGAGATATAAAAAAGAAAGGATGTTTCATTAAAAGGGAAGTGGAAATGGATACCAGTAGATTTGAACAGATCAAAGCAGAAGGAAAACAGAAGAAATCACTGCAAGAAAAAAAACCCAGAGCTGCAGCTATCTGCTAGGTGAAATGAAAAATAGTAGAAAGAAAATGCTTAGAAAGGAACATTTTCTAGATAAAGCTTGAAGTAGGAATGTAAACTTGATAATGACTCCATTGCCCAATAAGCTTTTAATTCATATCTACTTATAATGAATGTTACATTGCGTCCTCTGCCTCCGAAAACACTAACATACTTTGTTCAGTCTTATGATTCAAATTCATAATTACAAAAACATTCTCACACAGTCCAAGTACTGCCTGAGATGAATTAGATGCGATAAATAAAAGATAAATAGGTATCAGCATACTTGGACTCCTCACTGAGAGTCTGACACACCAACCAACAACATTGCAAATACTTACTGTGAAAAAGGAGCCAATGATCCAAGAACCAGAATAGGATAATTAGCCACAAAGGAATGCTGTTGCAGAGTGATAGAGAAGGAAGGCTAAACAGCTGTAACATAACACCTCATCTAGTAAGTAAATACAGGGTGTAGCTAATGACTGACTATCCACTGTCCTGTTCTTCTGAACCCTCTAACAGTAACCTGGGACTCCTTGTTTGCTTGCTGTGATTCCTGTTGTTTGTCATCTTATGCTGCAAGCTCCTTGGGACAAGAACTGTGTTCTAAACGTATACTATTCAAGCTCTGGTCCAGAGCCTGCATGTTTACCATCATACAAATATGAAATAATAAAACCTCGCAGCCTGCTGGGCAGTTGGGAGGGAGTCAGCTCTTCACTACCAAAACCAAATCCTCTGACATTCACTGACTAGAAACACAGGAACTGCAGTGAGGAGAGTGCTCCCTCTCTCTCATCTGCAACTTATTCCAGTGTCAAATTTCATGAACTGCTTTTCAGTAAAGCATTAGAGGAGCTGGTTAAGCACACAGGAAAGTATGTATGAGCTTGTACTAGCACACAGTGAAGTAAGTGAGCTATAAATTCCTATTTATTTTTGTATTCCTATTTATCTTCAAAGCTAACTGCATCCCTGCTATACAAATAACGTCTGTGTACGTGGTGAGTTCCTGCTGGTGGACATCATCACTAAACGTAACAACCAAACTCAAAGCCCTTGCACAAATGCTCTGCAAGTATAACATCTTGGCTGGAAAGTAGTTATAAGAATTAAACAGTAAGGTAGGAGAATCTTTCCCTACCTTTCTGCCCCTGTGATAGGACTGTTACTTGAAACAGTACACGAAGATGCAAAACAGTGCTGAAAGGAGGGATCCGGCTGCATGTTGGCCCTCAGCAAGGCCGGGTTAGTGCCCACAGTGCTGTCAGACATCACCACAGAGTGGTTAATGGCTTCTGTGTAACTTCGAGATTCTGCAGCAAAGGAAACAAAGTGCAAGGCAAGTGAAAAAACAAGTCACATTTTGGTGGTTCTTGTACTGACAGAAGTGCTGTTCTTTAATAAAGAAGAGTTATTATTTGTTTGAGCAGTAACATTTTATTTCACAACATGATGCTGACTGCTGAAAGTATCTAGCAAGACAAATAGCAGAGGGAGTAATGATTCCAGAATTGCACCACTCAAACTGTTTGGTCAGTTCTCCAGGGTACATTCTCAAGCCCCGAATGAAAACAGTCCTCTCTGTTCCAAGCTGGTTTGCATTCCACAAGCCACAGTGTTGATGAGGTATGTCTAGTCAAGTGTCCTATGTAACAACACACACCATCAGGGTGACTTAAACACCAAAGTGACAGAAAACTAGTGTATTAATTCAGCCCACTACTGAATGGGGCAGGGGACCTGAAGAAAAATGACACACTGAGGTACTCAAAACCTTCTTCACCTCAGTCTTTACCAGTAAGACAGGCCTTTGGGAATCCCAAACCCCTGGGCCCACAGGAAAAATGTGGATCAAGGAAGACTTATCCTCAGTGGAGGAGGACCAAGCAAAAGAGCACCTAAACAAACTGGACGTACCCAAGTCATAGAATCACAGAACAGTCTGGGTTGGAAGGGACTAGACCTTCAAAGCTCATCCAGACCAAAACCCTGCAATGAGCAGGGACATCTTCCAACTAGATCAGGTTGCCCAGAACCACATCCAGCCTGGCCTGAATGTCTCCAGGGACGATGCATCCACCACCTCTCTGGGCAACCTGTGCCAGGGTTTTACCACCCTCAGTGTAAAAAATTTCTTCCTCATATCCACCCTGAATCTCCCTCTTTTCGTTTAAAACCTCCTCACCCTGTCACAACAGACCACACTAAAAAGCCTCTCCCCATCTTTCTTATAGGCCCCTTTTAAGAAGTGAAAGTCCTCAATATGTCCTCTGGGGCCTGACAGGCTGCACATGCAGGAGCTGAGGGAGCTGGCTGATACCACTGCAAAGTCTCTCTTGATAACTGGGCTTTATACAGGAACAGTTTAATCCCTTCTTTATGGGTGCATTTTAATAACCAGTCAAGCCCTAGTGAGGGTTGCATTTCGTTATTGCATCTAAAGCAATCCAACACCTGTTCACAGAAGCCCAGCTTCAACAGCACTGTTTTCTACAATTCCAGTCCTACAAAGAGTTAAGATTGTGCTAATGCATCCTTCCCATAAGGAAACCTTTCTAATGTAAAGAGGAGGAAGGTTCTCACTGTTTGTGTGAGCAACACTGAAACAAGTCTAAATAAATCTTCTTTTTCCTTCAATTCATGTAGAGCCTGGCTCTACTATTATTTGAATGGGGGGTGCAAGGTACTTAAAAAGAAATGCCTGAGATAAGAAAATCTGCAGATCAGTGTCCTGACTGCAAACCATTCGAATTCCTCACATAGCATACATACTGTACAAAGCAAACATTTAACTGGGTGAAGGAAACAGAAAACTGCAACACTTTTATCTATACCCATTACTTTAACTACAGCCACGCCAGCCGTAAAAGTGAACTTTAAGGAAACAGGGCAGAAATGTGTGTGGTGTGGAAGAGCTAGAGAAATCTCTGTCTAATAGATCAGATATATTACAGTCATTCTCATACTGGTGCAAACACAGTCAAAAAAGCTGGCTGCACAAACTCATGATTTAGGCCATATTCCTGCTGAAATCAGCGGTGCTTGTTTTTACAAGTATTACACAGATTGAGTGTTTACCCAAGTATTATAAAGATTGATGTTAAGCCTTGAGCTATGATTTTAATACGTAACAAAGTAATATTACTTTGTCTTAACTACTATCTGAGAAACAAAAAGATTCACTGAAGATGGATTGGTCAAACTGATGTTGTACAGCTGAAGACTACCAGAGCCCCCTCAGACTCTAGGCGAAAAGCAGATGAACTTACTGATAGCAGCATCTGTAAGAGAAACTAATGTAAATGCAGCAGACATCCCACCTCCCCTCTGCACATGAACCTGCAGATGCTTCCCAATCACACTGCAGTTTGAGGTGACTCTGCTGCTGCATGGAAGAGGTTAATGCCTAACCATTCCATGATGCTATGATTCCCAAGAGCCACTGGGAATTATGATCACAGGCTTAACTCCAAATGCTTGCTTGGTTTTGTGCCCCTAATGCTAGGCCATACTGGTGAGTCACTATACTCCAGTAACTAAAAAGCTGGGCAAAGGAAGGGCAGTGACAGTCCTTCTGAAATAGGTCAAAATCTCCCAATCTAATGTGATCTCAGCTGTGTGTTTAATAGCTAATCTGAAGCATTCACACAGCAAAATCCACTCCTTCTCCCAGCAATAACAGCACTTGCTTGAAGAAATGGGCCAAGACCTGACTTCTGTTTCAGGCCTTGGACTGTTGCTGTTATCTTCAGAGCGCCGATTGTTGCGTGCTGCCACACTCAAAGATGCAGCATTTCTTTTCATAACCCCTTTTCACAGGTGTAAAATACTAAACTAAGAGGGAAAAGCTACTGGCAGCCAGGCATGTAATGTGTGGAAAGAATGCAAACTCCATACAGCTCTTCCCAGGCTGTACGAGTCTATCTGAAAGGCACTTTCCCACGAAAGCAGCTTTGTTTATATTCCATTTGAAAACAAGCTTGCTCAATATTTCAGCTATGTCTCTATTGTCTGATGCAGAGTCCACACTCACCAGTCAGCTCTTAACCCTTTATCTCATTATCGTTAACTCAATGCAATCCCCATAGCTTCAGCAGTGTTTCTGTATGCATGGTACAGACTCCCCTGGCATGTTTGATGCAAAGCATCAGTGCTTCTTGCTGTAGGTCCCTACTAAATCTATGCCATTATCTCTGCGAGAACGCTGACAGTGTAAAAGTGCAGCTTCCTACTTAAAATTAGTGACATAACAAAACCAGGATCATTCATGTTCATGTGTCTTCATGCACTCAGGTCAGACCTATGTATCTACACTGACCATCCATTTTACAGGCAGAACCTAATAGATGAACTGGACTCTTTGCATCACACACTACAGAAAAGTGACTTTCAGGAAGAAGACAAATACTACTGTGCCCACATGCAAGGCAGAAAAATACCCAGCTTGCTCTTCTACTGTTCCACTTGGCAGTAAAGGGCAAATACTTGTGAAGGCTGCAAGCTTCTTTCAGTTGTAAGCACAAACTCCTGGATGCGTCTAGGATACAGCTATATAATGTAGGAAGTTACAGATTAACCTGTACCTTAATCCACTAAACCTGTTAAAACAAAAAATCCACCAACCCCCCCACTCCTTCCCTCCCGAGTGGCTTAACCCATGCCATGGGCCAGATAAAAGATGTAAAAACCTTCCTTTTCCTCTCTTGTAGGAGCTGAAGGGCAAAATCACCTCACAGCTTTGGAGACAATGGTCCAACATTGGCAGGGAAAGGAAAGAAGCAGCCATTCCACCTTGTATGCTAAAGCAGCTTCTAACACTCCCATCTTTGTAGCTGTTTTTCTGAGAAGCTGGTACCTAACCTGCACTGGATGAAGTTGGAAACTCCAGTCCTCAGTTGCATTTTTGGGGAAAGAGAACTCTTAAGTCACTGTTCCACTCCCAAACCCCTGAGCTGACCACCCCCGACTTCTCCCAGGCCAGTCTAAAAGCTGAATGGACACAGAAAAGCATACTGCCCTAAAGCAAGCCAAAGTAACCGATCCACTGCCAGCCCGGAAGAACAGCAGAAGGGCAAGATGCTTTGTGCAATTTAAGAGTCTATTTTGTGACCCATCCTTTGATGGCTACAGCCTAACAAAAGCCACTTCAGATATGGCTATGAAACATTCCACGTATCAACACTCTGACTCACAGGTCCCTCCACTTCCACAAAGGCACGCAGCACTCCCAGCATTCCCAAAAACTCCATGGCACTTCATGGCTTGGCATTCAGCTGGTTCAAACTACCATTTAGAGTTTACATCACTGCCAGTGTAAACTCCACACAGTGCTGAGCTGTTCATCTCTCTTCCCACAGCCAGGGAACTGTAAGAGTTCCTATGACAATAGTCTCTGCTGATACAACTTTACCTTATCCAGGGGATAAAAGATGCCCACTTCCCTTTTCCAATATTAAAATCTTACTGCTCATCAAGCAAGTTACTCTGCCATTCACCTGAACGTTTTGCAGAAGATAAGGTTCAACTCAGCTCTGAGATGTTACGCATGAAAGGAAAGGTAGAGCAAGGACCAGAGACTACCTTAGCCTTTAGCAGTAAGAACAACCTATCTAGAGACACAGTAGATGGCTCCATGGATTGAAGTGTGTAAGTAAGACAAAAAGTACTGGATAAAGATCTTTAAGCACATTTTATGAGAGAGGTTTGTTTAGGAATGTTTCTTTCCAAACCTTAAAACTACAAAAGGAGAAAAGTGGAGAAAGCTTCATCAGAGAAACAGTCAATGACAGCAAAAACACCATCGAAGTACAGAGCAGGCACGATTTTAGTTCTTCCAAGTCATTTTGCCAATATTTCAGTAAAGGAAATGTGGATGGAAAGATCAACTGGGAAGTCACAGTTTCAAAGGAAACACTGGAGCAAGGAAGAGAGCTTCAGTGGAAGAGAGGTACTGACATGCAACATCCAGTGACAGCTAATTGGACTGGATGAAGTGAAAAGGAGCACACAATTCCAACTGCATAGTGTGAGTATGGAGAAGCAGAGGTTTCTGCTACTCCAGAGAGCCAAAAACCCTGGAAAAAGTGAATTCATGACAAAAGGATTTGGCTCCCTTGAAAAAGAGTCCCTCCAGCAGCTGACAGAGTGCTAACAACACAATTGGCACCAGTGAGGCTCCTTCACAACCTCTATACAGCTCACAGGAAAGGCCAGAGTTAACAATCCCTGCACAGGGAGAAAGGAGACAGCAAGTCTCCTGAACAGTTCACAAACTGACACCTTTTCAAGTCCTTGGCACTGCAAGGTTCTTATG